TTTAAAGTTGAGGCAAACAAGTAACAAGGAAATTTAATTAAACAAGTATGTAGTCAACAATTTGTCTGTACTTCTTAAATATGGATTATCTTAAAAATTCATGTGAAATATATAATCGACTCTATAAAATAACTTAAAAATAATTGATTTAATCCAAAATTAAATCTTTTACTGTGATTTTTTTAATTCTTATAAAAATAGAACTTCTAGGGATAATCTAACAAGAAGTATAAGGACACAGGGAAGCACATAAGAAAAACAATAAAACAGAGGCTGGAAAGGTGGCTCAGTGGTAGAGCACTTGCCTTGCATGTGTGAGGCCCTGGGTTCGATTCCTCAGCACCACATAAGCAAAAAGCAAAAAGCCAGAAGTGGCGCTGTGGCTCAAGTGGTAGAGCGCTAGCCTTGAGCTGAAGAGCTGAGGGACAGAGACCAGGCCCAGAGTTCAGGCCCACGCCCGGACCCAAAAAAAAAAAAACCAAAACAATAAAACAATCTCTTCTAGTTATAAAGCACTTATCCAGCTATAGAATTGAATACACAATTATGTGTTAATACATATTTCTCAAATTGACTTTTCCCCCCTCTTTAACTAGACAGTTAAGTCACCTAGTGGTTACCTTAATTTCTCTGCCTTCCTGTAAGTCATCTAGTAGTTACCTTCATTTAATCTCTACCAACCCAACTATTAGAATTACCAGAGAAGAAAACATTCAGAACAGTTATTTAAAAATCTATTAAAATACAAGACTAAGGTAATCATAACAAAATAAATCTTATAGCCATTAAACTATTTTATTTCAAGGGACAGTCTCCAGATAGCTCACCGAGAAGCAGTTATATGGAAGTTGGCACAAAGTGACAGGGGAATAAATAGTGTAATGGCACAGTCAATGGGAAGAATGCTGGAATGAAATCACAGGCCTGTACCACAAGGGAAATGAACCAGACATATGGATTTGCTCAGCTTCTGCTTGCACATTTTATTCTTGTTTGCTTGAGCAATGTTGGGGATTGAACGCAGGGTTTCCTACACAAGGCAAATGCTCTATTCCTGAGCAACATCCCCAGCATACTTTAAAAATGAAAGTATCATCATGGACTCTGCTCATCTGACAAGTAATATTTCAATACAGAGCAAGAGCTCTGTAAAAAATATTATCTTGAGTTGATTAAAAAAGTGTCCCATAATTCAGAATAAATATTTCTCTTAGCAGTATAAGGAAAATATTGGCCTGTACAATTTTATAATTTTTTTGTCAGTCACAGTGCTTGAACACGGAGCCTAGGGCTGTGCTTAAGCTCTTCTGCTCAAGACTAGTTTTGGATCACTTTCAGTCACCTAGCCACTTCCGGTTTTCTGGTAGTTAATTGGATATAAGAGTCTCACAGACCTTCCTGGGCTGACTGGCTTTGAACCACAATCCTCGGATCTCAGATTCCTGTCTAAACTAGTATTACAGGCTTGAGCCACCAGTGCCCGCTCTGTTTATAACTTTTTTTTTTGGGGGGTGGGGACAGGTAGGAGTAAGTAGGAGTTAGGGATATTTCTATATGTAATTTCTATCACCTGCAGATAAGTAGTACTTTACCAGGTCTTGAAGATGACACAATATAATCACTAATAGTACCAGAAGTAACTATTTTGTGGTCATATTCTCTCATCAGTACAATATAAAAGTTTCAAGAACTCGCGAGGCACTCACAGCCATAAATCTCAGCTACTCAGGAGGCTGAGAAGCCAGCCCAGTTTGTGGTTCAAGACTAGCCTGGCCAAGAAAGCCCATGAAATTCTTCTCCAATTAACTATCCCCCTCCCCCAAAACAGTTGTAAGTGACTCAAGTGGTAGAGTGCTAGCCTTGAGCTAGAAAAACTCAGGGACAGTGCCCAAACCGGATCAAACCCCAGGAGCAGTGCGCACACCCACACACATTTATACACAGTTCCAAGAACAAAGGTTTTTAAATAAAATATGGTTTAAATTCTAGACCTGTCCTTACAGGTATTGGCTTACTTTGGATTTGGGTTTTTAGGCTTTGTTTTGTTTTTGAGCACTGTACTGAAGCCTCTCTAGCAAACATTCTACCACATAAGCAACACCTCAGTCCTTTTGTATTTTTGTTTTCTCAGATAGGGTTCATGCTTTGCAAGGACAGGCCTCAGACCTATATCCTCCGACCTCTGCCTCCTGAATTGGTGGAATTACAAGCCAGCATCACTCAGCACCACCAGTGCCAGAAGGTCTTAACTTTCCAATTATGTTCCTTGGTCTGTAAAACTACTATATTTAATGTATTTTTGTATACTATTGTGGCAGAGAGTAAGAGCTCAACAAAGAATGACTATTAAGATAAAAGTCTAGGAAGTGGAAATGTGGCTGAAAGTGGAGATGTGTGCTGACAAAATGCCAACTTAGAGCAAAAAAGCCAAGTGAGAGCATGAGGTCCTAAGTGCAAGCCCCAATTCCAGTACAAAAGAAATAAAATGGTAAAATTCTACTTAATGCACAAACACAGCATTATAGATAAATAAATGAGTACTCAAGAGAATGAAATCATTTCAAAAGCTAAAAAGAGAAGGATAGAACCTATCAGATAGAGCAAGACCAGAGATGACGGTTGACATAGATGATACAGTTGACCTGACCTAGGAGGAACAGTTTGGAATAGACTGAGAAGCAATCAATGATAATCCCTTTGCCCTGGAACTAACCTTCTGATAAAGAAAGAACATTTCAGGATGTTAGGACAAATGCAAAATTCTATTGAAAAGCCAACTATTAAGCCAGGTAGTTGTGGTTCACACTTACTATCCTAGCTACTCAAGAGACTGAGTTCAAGGTACGAAGCTAGCCCAGGCAGAAAAGCCCACAGACACTATCTCCAAGGTAACCAGTAAAAACCAGGCTGAAGACATTGCTGAAGTGTCAGAGCACCGGCAACCATGAGCAAGGCAAGCAAGTATGAGGTCCTAAGTTCAAACCCTGATACCAAGAGAAAAAAAAAGTGAACGACACATTACACACAAAGGTGACATTTAGAAACAGGTTTCTTTGCAATGAGTTCCCACATGAGGGAACACAAGCACTCAAGGTTGTACTGTTAAACATACCAAATATGATTTTGTGCATGTTTAACACCTCTGGCACTTTTGTATTTAAACAAAAGAAGACCGATCATTAATAAAAGTCATACTGTCCAACAATATTTGTGTCAGTATGTCAAATGGTAAACTAGAGCAAACTAAGATCATTTTCTTTAGAGTGTTTGGGGTTTAGTGCTGACTACTTGTTACAGGCATAACATCAAGCCACATTCTGTAAGGGAGATTATATGATTCTTAAAATACATCCAACTGTCACTTGAATGAATGACTCAGTCAACAAGGATAGGTCTTTCAGAAGCAATTATCACTTATCCCTTTAAGGAAAAGGTTTCTAGAACATAGAATCTTTCTGTTCTCATTCAATAGTTGGTTTAACCTGGCTTCTTCCTTTTTATTGCCAACGTTTTTTTTTCCTGTAAGTGAACATGACACAGGATGTCTGAATCACATCAGAACTCAGTAACAGGAATTGCAGGAACAAGGAAGTGTGGAAATATTATCTGTTCTTGGAGGCTCAATCTATTATTTTCCTTCCCAATAGAAAGATAAATGTTCTAAAGGAGTCATCTGGATTTAAGTCAACCCATCACATTTCCATGTCCGGCACACTGATTTCCCAGACAGTACTGGCTGTGTTGCCTTAGACACAGATTGTGTAACCTCCTAACAGCCTCACGATTTCGATTGGTCTCTAAAGTTCTTCAGCTAGTTCCAGAAAGTCAGTCTCTTGAGTAGATTAAATTTACCTTTTCCAGAGCAAACCATCATTAGAGATGAAGGGCAACTGTGTAACCCTATTCCCTGCGGCATGGGAAAATGACAGGGCAGTCAGAATAGTGTTTGGGGAGCTGCACTTTTAAATCTACCTATCTGATGAACACTTAAAAGATAAAAACTCCAGCTGTAGGTCTCTAGAGCACACAAGTGACTTAAGGAACACAGAGAAAAAAAATAAATAAAACGTTCATTTTCTTCCCTTCACACTGATGCTCCTAAATTCTGCTTACTACTCTTACCTTCTTTTCTTTAAGGAAATACCTGTGCGTTCGTAACTTAGTTGACACCCAAACCTCACACTCAGCCTCTTCCTCCACCTCCTTGCGCGTTCTCTATAATACCCTGCCAGATCTCATCACCTGCCCAGGAGCTCTCAAGTTCTTCCATTCAGCATCCTCTCCTCACTTCATTCGCTCCCCGAACACCACCTCCTGTCACTTCCTCCCCAGGAGCCTAACAGTCTATGGAATGAAAGACAAAGAATCCATGGCTTCTTGCCACGGGCTCAGTGCCGTTTTCGTACTTGGAAAAATCCCCCTGTGGAATCCAAACGTGGGGAGAGCCATGTTTTGTTAAGTCTGAGGCTCGGGGCTCACACCTCATCCCAGGCCTTTTCTAAAGTCAGTAGGGATCCAGCTCCCTTTCGGTTTAGTGGAACTCTCGACACTTTTCACAAGCCCGATTCAAATGACCCTCCGTCCCCAACCGCTCCACACACTCAAGATCGGCGTCCCCAGCCCCACCAAGGCACCCCGCCGTGTCACCCGAAGGCAGAGGCTGCAAAAAGCACGGACCAGCCCGACCCCAATTTCCCCGTGACTGCCCCGTGACCTTGGGCAAACCGGCTCAGGGCGGGCGAACCTCCCCTTCCTCTCCGCGCGGCGGCGGCGGCGCACGGCTGCCTCCCAGCCCGCCCGAGTCCTTCCAAGGTTCGGAGGAGTCTTCCCCGCGCTCAAAACACCCACGAGCCCCATCTCAACATCCAGCCGGGGCTCAGTAAAGCCCAGCTCCCGGCCTGGAAGGCGCCGGCCCGGCGAGCGCCCCGCCGGGCGGCGGGAACCCGCGGGCCCCGGGGCGCGGCCGTGCGCACCCGCCCCGCCCTCCCGCCGGGCCTCACCTTGGTGGTCGTAGACGCTGATGTAGGAGATCCCCACGGCCATACACCACACCACGAGGCTCGCGATGTCCGAGAAGCTGGGCTCCGGCTCCTCCTCGGTGACCACCAGGCCCATGTGCACCGGCAGCTTCTCCAGGGCGCGGACGTCCGCGCGCCAGCGCAGCCGGGGGTGGGCGGCGGCCGGGCCCGGCCCCCCGCGCGGGCGCCGCTGGAGCCGGCGGTTCCGGCCTCCCGCCGGGGGCTTGCGGAGCGTGAAGCCGAGCGGCGCTAGGACCGCGGCGGAGGCCGCGCGACAGCAGCGCCGCCAGATCCAGTTCCAGGTGCCGAAGCGCAGGCGGAGCCGCGAGGTGAGCGCGCGGTGCAGGCAGAGCAGCGCGTGCAGCACCCGCCACACCAGCTCGTACAGCCCCGTCATGCTCCCGCCCGCCCGCCCGCACCCGCGGCGCCACGGCTCTCTATCCGCCCCGGCTGCCGGCGCGGGCCATCGCCCCGGGTCCCCCCACCCCCCGCGCCCGAAGCCCTCGCCACTGCCAACACCTCACCTCGCCCCCGCCGCCATCTTCCTCCTCCCTCGGCGGCCCCGCCCCCGCTAGTACATGGACGATTCTGATTGGCTGCTCGACGGCTCTGACGCGGCCTCGGGGTCGAGGATGTGGCCGAGCCCCGCGCGGCTCAGGGAGGTCTTGCGCCTGCGAACTAGGAGGGCGGGGGACCTCGTGCGCCCCCTGGGGGAGAGGAGGGCGAGCAACAGCCGGCGCTGGCCTGTCCAGCTAAGGCACACGTGTCAGTACAGCACTGGGACCCCACAGCCTGGGCGTCGTATGCTGACTGTCCGTCTCCTCCCTTGAACCTGACTGGTGTCCAAAAGAGTAAAAGTGACCTAAGTGGGTTGAAAATTACAAATGCCAGAGAGAACACCAGGATAGAAAGCAGGATCTCCAAGAGGAAAGTGTCCCAAAGCTGGAGTGTGCCCCCCTCCTCCACCCCAGGAGGTCCTGCTGTGGTCCAGCCTCCCATCAGATGCTAACTCTTCACCGAGTGGAAATGAAGATCTCCAGTGATGCTTCTGAGACACACCTCCTTGAAGAGGAATCCTTACTGGGTGTCCATAGTTTAGTTTATAAGAGAGGTTGGGCCTCAAGTGATAATTGACTAGCCCATCCTCCGCCGCCCAGTTATGTTTGCAGGAACAGGAAAATGGATATGATCCCTGGTCTCAGTCACTAGCTCTGTTTTTAAGGTCAACCCCCAGCGGCCCTGAACCTGCCCTTTTACACACCTGTCGGGTCTTCAGAGTGCCTCTAGGCCAGCTCTGAATTTCCCAGCAGCAGTGCTGTACTATTTTGCCCCTCTTGCTCAAGCTCTTCCCTTCTTAATGCCTGTTTCCCAATGAAGGATTGCCCAAGTCCCAACACATTGCACAAGGATTATCCCACCTTCATAAATCTCTCTCTCCCTCCCTCTGTCTCTCCCTCCCTCTCTCCCTCTCTCTCCCTCTCCCTCTCCCTTTCTCTCTCTCCCTCTGCCTCTCTTCCTCCCCCCCCCCCCCATCTCTCCTGTCTCACTGGATTCTCAAGACTAACTGCAGCCAAGATTCAGTGGGTTGAAATGGTAATCAATGCACAATAGATCTACTTTACCTCTAGTGGTTGTTTCGAAAATCTGGCTGCTGTTCTGCATGGAGAAGAAGGAAGGAAGTTCTTTGTCTGTTGCCCTGAGCAATAATCCTGGAATGACAGAAACTGCACAGCTGCCTTCACACTGTACACGAAGCCATCTTCTTACAAAGATTTTTCTTATTTTGTCATTTCAAAGAGGAACAAATGTACCATTCTTAGTAAATTTGGGTTTCAATAAAAAGTTTGGCTTTCCTAAACATATTTAACCTTCTGCCCCAGCCCAAATTTGAACCACGGACTGAAAAATGTAGTTATGACGCTTCAGAAAGATATTAAGTTCCTAATATTATGGAGATAGTGTTATTTACTTTTCGGTTAGAAAATGCTTTACATGGGCTGGGAAAGTGGCTCAGTGGTAGAGCGCTTGCCTTGCATGCTCAAGGCCCTGGGTTCGATTCCTCAGCACCACATAAGCAAAAAGAAAAAAGCCGGAAGTGGTGCTGTGGCTCAAGTGGTAGAGTGCTAGCCTTGAGCTGAAGAGCTGAGGGACAGCACCCAGGCCCAGAGTTCAGGCCCCACGACCGGACCCAAAAAAAAAAAAAATGCTTTATATTACTTAATTCTCATCACCAAAGTATGAACTAGGTAGGGTAGGTAGAACCACCTAGATTGTACGGAAAAGAACACAATTGACAGACTACTAACAACAATGAATAAGGATTTGGGTCCTCACAGCTCTAATTTAGTGTAATTATCTTCTTACTCTCTTCCCAGTTTCCTCATCTGTAACCTGCGGTTGGCGAGGTTGGAGCAAGGCTGAATCAAACTTCACTCCATAGTTGTAAGAGCTAAGATGATTATACATACAAACTCTCTAGTATATTGTCCAGTCTATAGTGATCACTATACAACAGTCAGTAGCTGAATCTACTGCAAAAAGGAATGAGAAACCATTTCTATATGCTTTTTTATTTAGAAAAAATAGCATATTGTAAATGTTAATTGTATACAATTGTAATCTTGTGTTGAAATCGTACTAGTAGCACTTTGCCAGGAAGAATGGCTAATGCTTGTAATCCTAGCTGCTTAGGAGACTGAGCTCTGAAAATTGGAGTCTGGAGCCAGCCTAGGTAGACAAATCTACAAGACTCTTACCTTCAAACAATTAGCAAAAAGCCACAAGTAGAAGCATAGCTCAAGTGGTAGAGCATTGGAAGGGAGAGCATGAGTTCTGACAGGAAAAAAAAAATGTTAATATTAAGAAAAAAAAGTTGATTCAAATAACATACTCTTGTTTCTTTTTTTTTGGGGGGGGGGTCTGGTCGCGGGGCCTGAACTCTGGGCCTGGGCGCTGTCCCTCAGCTCTTCAGCTCAAGGCTAGCGCTCTACCACTTGAGCCACAGCGCCACTTCCGGCTTTTTTTTAATGTGGTGCTGAGGAATCGAACCCAGGGCCTTGGCATGCAAGGCAAGCGCTCTACCACTGAGCCACCTTCCCAGCCCCACATACTCTTCTTCTGTTGGGTCACATTCTAATAATAGAGCCAAGTACAGCATTTAAAAATGAATATTATTTAATATGCAGTTATGTTGCTGGGCACCGGTGGCTCATGCCTATAATCCTAACTACTCAGGAGGCTGAGCTCTGATGATCACAGTTCAAAGCCATCTCTGGAAAGGAAAGTCCATGAGATTCTTATCTCCAATAAACCACTAGAAAGCCGGAAGTGGTGCTGTGGCTTAAGTGGTAGAAGGCTAGCCTTGAGCTGAAGAGCTGAGGGACAGAGTTCAAGCTCCATGACTGACTAAAAGAAAATAAAATACAGTATGTCAAGTGTATAAATTTAAAAAGTGAGACTGAGCTTTTAATTTTTATAATGTCCTTGATAATGAAAGCTTAAAACTCTCAAACTAAGAAGATATCATGTCAAGCCAGCAGACCAATTTGTCAATAAACTTCTTGAAAATTAGAAATAATTTTCTTTATCTCTGATTTTTCTAAAGTTGGAATATGAAATGCTTTGGTACAGTTATTAGGGAATGTTTATCCTTCCTGGTGCTTCCTAGATTTGGCTTCCAACATTAACTTGGGGAGAAATGATTGCTTGTTATTGCTTCAAGTATAGCTCTTATTCTTTCTTCTCTTTTTTTCTTCTCCATTAGGCATATGTTACACTGTTTTAGCAATTTTACAATATCTGCTAAGGGAGAAATAGTCTAATGATATATACTCATGCTCAGTTCTTTTCTCAGCTGCGTCCAGTTTACTAATGAGCCCATTAAATGCATTCTTCATTTCTTTTATACTGCTTTTATTTCAAACATCTCTTTTGTATTATGATTTTTATCTGTGTACATTTCTAATTTATTCTTCCATGCTACCTACTTTATGTATTAGACTTATAGTTACTTTACATCACTGGTCTCATCATCTCAACCTGACTACCAATATCCAGATATGTTTGTGATTCTCTCTGTCTTTTTCAAACTGTAATAAACAGAAACATTGTACTGGGTAAGAGGATTTGCCATAAATGGACCAGTAGTAGCTTGGTAAGAAGGTAAGTAGAGGAGGAAAGCATTCTGCAGTCCCATGATTAGTGTCAATCTTTCGGTGTCCTAAATTAGGTGGGACAGGATAACTAGATTGGGATGGAACTTTCTTTCTAAGTTGTTTAGCTTCTGATAAAACTTCACTAAGTTAGGATCTGGAAAAACAGCTTTTTGGGGGGACAAACCTTGCTAAGAAGAATAGAGTTTTCTGGTGTTCATTAAAATTGTGCCTCTCCTCCTTTTATGAGAAGCAGGCAAGGACTTTTCTCCACTCACTTGAGAACTTGATGAAGCTCTTAAAGATACATCTCACAAAAATATGGAAGCCCCATGAGTAGGCCTCCCTGGTATTTGTAACCATCACACTTGTCTCCTGTGAGTCTCCCGTATCCACCAAGTATAGCTAAGATTTTCCTACATCAGTACTGATTCCCATGAAGGTTTCTTCTTCTGAGTTTGTAATCTGGCAAGTTGTGACTTTTCAGTATTCATGTGCTGGTTCCTTCAGTTTGGGAGCAAGGCAGTGGTCTGTGCTGTGACCTTACTTCTCTGACCAATCTAAGAACAATCGTTGATTTTTCAATTTGATTTGCCTTTTTATTTTTATAAATAGGATGTGATGATTTCAAATCTCCTATGTGCCAGCCCAGAGACTGGAAGTCTAAGAACCATTTCTGTGAGTGAAATTTTATGGGAGGCTGTGAAGGTGGCTCAGTGGTACAGTGCTTGCCTTGCATGCATGAGGCCCTGGGTTCGATTCCTTAGCACCACATAAGCAGAAGAAGCCAGAAGTGGTGCTGTGACCCAAGTGGTACAGTGCTAGCCTTGAGCTGAAGACCTGAGGTACAGCGCCCAGGCCCAGAGTTGAGGCCTATGACTGGCAAATAATAATAATAATAATTGGAACACACCCATATCTATTTGTTTACAAACACTTTACAGCAAAGTTTTGTAGCTTCAACAGAGAACTCAACTCACAAACTCTAAAATATATATTATTTGGTTAATGATGAAAAAAGTTTCCAATACCCAATTTACAGTATGAAATCTCCTAACCACAAGGCACTTTATTCTTTGTTGGTGGAAGCTGAAGTGCTTGTGTAAAACTAATATTCCTAGAATTCTCATCTTGTGGATTGGATTGACAAAACTGCAATGATGGGAGTCCTAACCACTAGGACTGGCTCAGGGTAATCCCAGTTAGTTTTTCCTGTATGTTCTCTGGACAAACTGTAAACAGCTATCTCCATTACAGTGGTATGGTATGTAGAGTTATACAGCCAGGCCCTGGTTCTAGGAATGTGCCTAACTCTATATTAGCTTAAGATAAACTAGCTGCATTTACTCTAAGATGAAGCAACTTTTGTACTAACTAATATGTGTACCTTCCATTGGACCCCATTC